GGAGGCAACGCCAGCCAGGTCACTGACGGAGGTGAGTCCACATCTACTGGTGAAATAATCCATGTTTACAAGCGTGCTAATCCTTTTACCCAGCCGCCGCCGTCCTCCTGATGAAGCGCTCCACGGCCATCAAGCTCGGCCAGCCCATCATCGCCAAGTACGTCGGCTCCACCGTCGCCGGCCTGGCCCCGCGCATCATGGGCATCGGCCCGTCCGTCGCCATCCCCAAGCTGCTCGCCCAGCACAACCTCTCCCTCGCCGACATTGACGTCGTCGAGATCAACGAGGCCTTCTCCAGCATGGCCGTCTACTGCCGCGACAAGCTCGCTCTCGATTGGGCCAAGATGAACCCCCGCGGAGGCGCCGTCGCTCTCGGCCACCCGCTCGGCGCCACGGGCGCGAGACAGATTGTTACTGGTCTGAGCGAGCTGCGCAGGACAAAGAAGAAGATTCTGTTGACGAGCATGTGTATTGGTACGGGACAGGGTATGGCTGGTTTGTTTGTCAATGAGGCTGCGTAAAGCAGAATGCAGGAAGTTCGTTGATAGTTGTTGGAAATAAGCATCAAGAATGTGAATGATTGTACGATCACTGCGCCCCCGAGTTTATGGGTATTGGTTAATGTCATGGCACAAGTTTGAAAGATCTTGGTGAGGAGCTGTGGCAAATTTGAATGCAAACAACGGTATGAGGCCCAGATGAACAGGCAAAATTCAACACGTCAGTGAAACATACACATCACTTCAGGATCAAGCTAGAAGAAGTTTGGAAAACAACCACGCCGCTTTTTATATAAAATTTCTATAAACATATCCATAACGTAGTCGTTGCGTTGCGAATCATTAAGCATAAAGTACGCTTCGTAAGACGAATAGATATCCTGCAAGAACTGAAAGTCGGAACGCCTTTCCTCGCTCCAAAAATGCTGGTTACCAAAAACGACGCCGCATTCTACCATATGTACAAACCAACCCCGCGCGCACTTGACGGTAAGAATTGATTGACTTGCGCCTCTTTTTTTTCTCTCAAGCATTCGCGACTTCGCTGATGCTAGTCTCGTACTCGGTCAGCTTCAAGGCTTCCTGGACATCCGTCACGAAGTGAGACTCTCCGCCGACCAGATCTATGATGCCTGCCTGTCTCAAGAGTCTCCAGATGTGATGGCGCGGGTTGGTAGGGCCGCGGCTGAAGAACACTCTAACACCACGCTCTCTATACCCGCTGACAATCTCCAACAACACCTGCGTACCCGATCCGTCTAGTGAGGTGACACCGTGGATATCGAAAATGACATTCTTGTTGTGTTGCTCGCCGCGCAGTCTCGGCAGCGCAGGGTGCGCCATGCTCGTGCCGTAAAGCTCCAGTCTACGAAGACGTGCCTTGAGCTCTCCAGTATTGGCAAAAGTCAAAGGCTCGGGAATCTTGACAATCAGGCAGCCTTCAACAAACTCTAGCCTGTCGGGGTTCAGCTCGGCGTTCTCGAAGCGCTGTGTGCCGGGAATGCGTCCCAGAATCTGAATGCGGGGCCGAGTCGAGTGCTTGATGACCTGAAGCAGAGACAGACCAACGCCGATAGCCATGCCGAGGGTGAGCGAGTAGAAAATTGTCGACACGAAGATGATGAGCATCAGTCCCAGTTCAGTCCAGCCTCGAATCTTGAAGAAGAAAGCAATGTCGTGCGGAGCCTCCTCGAGGAGGGACCAGGCTACAACGGTGATCATGGATGACAGGACCGGTTTCTGAGAATGTTAGATGATGAACCTACTTTTGGGAAGTGACAACTTACGGGAAGGTAGTAAAAGTACGGCAACAGGAAGAAGACGGCAAGAAGCGTAATCAAGCTGAGGAAGATGGAGCTCATTGGCGTCTTGCCGCCGGTCTGCTTGTTCAGTTTGCTTCTACCATATCCACCAAAGGCGGGTAAGCTCATGAAGCAAGCTCCAACAATGTTGGCGGCGCCCAGAGCAACAAGTTCTCTGTTGGGGCTCAGCTGAATCCCGTGAGGGCTATCGGAGCTGCTCAAGCTTTTCGCGGCAACGGATGATTCGAAGAATCCCAGAAGCGCAATCAGGAAGGATGTGCCCATTGCTTCACGAACATGCTCCATGTGAGAAGTCTGGAAGGGCCATCTGAATTGGAAAAGATGACCCGAAGCCGCCTTAACCGGCCCAAGGATCTCGACTCCCTTGCTCTCCCAGTCGAAGTGCCAAGAGAGAAGTGCGGCAATGACGACAACGAAGAAACGATCAGGAATGTACGCAACCCCCGGATACTTGGGCACCATGTGTTTCTTGAGCTCTCTCATAGTCATCATGATTACGAAGCTGACTCCGGCCACAATGAAGGTAAGCTTGTGAACATGGTCGAACGAGCTGAAGATGAACTCTAACTTGTCCATGCTGCTTCCGTGGCCCACGCCCATTTCTGCCGCATACTTGGCAAGACCAAGCTCGGGAATAGACTGGTCAACCGCAATAACGAAGCCAATTGCAGAGATGAAACCGCGCAGGAACGGTTTGCTGAGAACGCTGTCGAGGAATCCCAGGCGGGCCAGACCCGCAAGAAAGACAGTAGCACCAGCCATACCCGCAACAACACCACAGATCTTAGCTTGGACCTCTGCATTGTACTCATCGCTCTTGTCATGGTCGATGCTGCCTCTGACCACAGACCCGACCAACAAAGAACCAGCAGCTTCCGGACCAACTACCATCTGAGGCGCGCTGCCGAAAACGGCGTATACGAATGGGTTGAAGACGAAGGCATACAGTCCATTGATAGGAGGGACATGTGCGAGGTTGTCAGCGAGAGACAAAGCCATAGGTAGGTAGAGGGAGGCGAGCGTCAAAGCTGCAACCAGGTCTCCCTTCAGATACGACCATTGGTACTGCGGCAGCCAAGTCAAGAGAGGGATGTAGTACGAAAGATACCTGGAAAACAAGCAGAGTTAGCAGGCAAAGCAGATTTGAGCGGTGAAAAACTCGGGGCCTAGGTCCTGCTCACATCCAAACGGTATCCTTGAAGCCGGCCTGCTCGGCCAGAGTTCTCGAGGAGTGCATCTTCCTGCTCTTGATCTTCCTGACAAATCGCTTCCTCCAGTGGTCGTCGCCCGTGATTGCGGTCAACACAGGGTCCAAGATTGGGATCTCGGACGCCGAGGAGGATGCTCTGTCAAATTCGGGATCCATGCTACCAGCAGGGCTGGCGGGTCGCGGCGAGAATGTACCATTTGGGTAGCTGTTAGCTGGCGAGTGATCGATGAGTACATTCTGCAAGAGGCTCGTCGACTCGCTCGGGGGAAATGTGTTCGGTCGGTTGAGGCTGGAACCGGCGCGAGGAGGATCGCGAGTTTCGTTGTCGTGAGGAAGAGGGGTTGCTAGCGGAGTGGCATCCTCGCGAGTGCTCAAGTATTCGGACTCGCCGCCGAGAGAGCTTGGGGATTGGATAGGAGAGCCCATGGTGTAGCTCTGGCGCAAACCGCTGGGATTCGCTGGGCGGTGTGTTGTCTGCGTTGTTTGTGTTGTTTGCGAAGAAGGACTGCGACTCGGTTGTGGTCGGCTACCTGACATTTTTTCGTACCCCCAAACAAGATGACGTTACAGGTTCATGCGGCGAGGGGCGGGAGAGAGGAAGAGCGCTGGAGAGAGGCTCGGATGAGATTGGCGGGGGTGAGCTTAAGCGAGACTGGATCTTGGGATTTAGATCGATTTGGAGATTCTTCGGGATTATGCGTATGCGTATACACAGAGCGTAACACTGATCTTGTTGGTGTTGTTGTTTTGATGTGACGAGAGGTTGCAGTCGTCTCGAGTCTAGGTAGGTCACAAATGTTGCCGGCGGGTAGAGACGGAAGGACGAGATTCGGGACGGAAAAGACGGTGATGGGGATAGAAATGCCGAGTATCAGTTTGTTGGAGCAATGCCAGGCTACACCATGATAGGAAAATTTGTCACAGCAAGCCTGACTCGTTGGTCAAACAATTGCGACGAGAGAGATTGGAGGTGTTGTGGCTCGCGACGTAGAAAGAGGCGAGCGTACTGTGGTTTGTGGACTGGGAGCTAGGTAACTAGCAGCAAAGGGCCCCGAAGGCAAAGGGTCGCCTGGGAACGAGGGAACGAAATGGTCGGTGAATGTTTTCTGCAAGGATTAGGATTCCAGTTCCGCAATTGCCCCAAGGTCCAAGGATCGGAGTGACATCAACGCGCTGGGGCTCTTCAAAGTTGTGTGTCAGCGGAACTCGATTCGACGATACAACCTTTCCCACCTTCCCTACCTTACTGTATCCGTACGCAGTATGGTCTACGGGCAGAACCGACCGGGATGTGTTTGTCTGCGGTTACGTACTGATTGCCATGTCCATTCCCGGCTTAGGAACGCCAGTGGTCAGTGGCATCCTTCCACCGAGAGGGAATGCCGTAATACGGTGAGGACGGCATACCGGCAAAACCATCCCGCGGCAAACAACACTGCTAGTCCTGATTTGGCATCTACCTGCTCACCGCCCTGGAAAGTGACTGATTACGTGAGTAGGTAAGGTGAAAGCCAAGCTCTTGTACCCCGCCAGTCCACTCATTGCCCTCGGCCCCTCCTCCTGCTCCTGCACATCTTCAGTGCCAATGTGGTGCTTCCCGCCTGTTGTCTCCATAACTCCAGCCGATCGGCAAAAGAGAAGCTGTGGCTCGTGCGCTACGCTGTACATAAACCATCTGTGGCTGGTGCAGCTCTCACCTCATGTGGCTGGACTGAAGCTCCCTCTCGTTGTGAAATGCCCAAGGTGACATGAGCAGATCCCCCGCCAAAGGGACGCATCCATTGCATCAAATCATCCTATCACATCTCACGCCCTTGAATCTCATGATACTCGTCATGAGCACCACCATCATGACCTGCTTACCATCGCCTTACTGGCACGGCCATCACTCGCTCATCCTCCACGATCTCAGCTGAGCTTCTCATTCCCACTCCCGAGATTCTTCAACCGTTGATGCACCTTGACACCATGTCGTTGAACAAGACCACTCTTGTGTTTTCACAACGCACGATCCCGCTCGAGTGCGATGTGTATTCCTGTGCTGAATATCCACTCATAGCTCCCGTCTTCCTGTACTTCCACTCAGGTGGCCTCGTGAGCGGTTCCAGAGAATGTGTTCCGCCTTGGCTTGTACAGGTGAGCCCTTCATCTTCATGAACAACCACCCGTGCTTCCTCATCCGACAATGGTAGCTGACCTTACCACACTAGGTCTGCTTCAAGAATCAATGGACTCTCATCAGTGCGAGCTATCGGATGCTTCCCCAGGCCAAAGCTTCAGGTCTGCTCCAAGATGCCACTGACGCTTACTCCTTTGCCCTGCGTTGGGCAATCACAAATGAACTTGCCCCAAATCGAAAAGTGATTGTAGGTGGATCAAGTGCGGGTAAGAGGCTCATCACCACGTCGCCTAAAGCCTTCATCGAGGCCCTGACTTGAGCCCTAGGTTTCTTCATTGCCTCTCTGACGGCTCACCACCTCCACCCGACTCCCCTTGCTCTGTTATCAATCACCGGTATCACTACTTTCCGTCATCCATTCTTCAGTTCTTCAGTCTTACTTACACCGGAACCCATAAACGAAGCACAAATGAGCCACCACTTATCCGCGCCGGTATCTATAGGAGTGACATCCGCAAATAATCCACAGGTCTTCCATGTTGAGAAGATCCTTCCTGATGGCGCCAAGAATACCGCATTTGTATTGCCTCCACTCCCCATCTCAGATGATGGCAACTGCGATGAGTTCCCCCGAGGATGTCTCTATGACTACTACCTTTACCGCAACGAGTTTCTCAATCTTGTGGGTGAAATTGACCCAGGCTACGAATGGGCCGAAAGTGAGATGGGAGAGAGTAGAGCTGCGGCGTGGCCACCCACGACCATCATACAGGGTGACGCTGATGAAGATGTTGACCTCTCTGTGAGCACTCACATGGTTCATTGTCTCGGCGATAGCAAGGTGAAGCTCTTCCTTGCTGAGGGACAGCCCCATCTCTACGAGGCGACGAGGTTCATTGAAGACGACATGAGTGGAATGGATGCCGTTAGACAGGCAGTATCAAATCTGGAGGCCGACGTTGCCCGTGCCCTTGCCTGACCGATAATGTCTCACTGGACTCGGACGAGGTTGAACCAAGTACAGGCTGTGGGAGAGGGGGGTTTGTTTCCAAACTGAGGTGGCCTGATGGGCAGGTAGCAATCGAGGGTTTCCTCACCGACTGCCTGATCACACAATGACACTTATCATGGATCTGCCCCTGACAAAGGGTCAATAATGTTTTCCTATATGCTTACCTCAACCTCCACTTCGCAACGGAAGAAGAGGTTAGGTCCGAGTCGATACCTCGAAAAAGCCGTCCTTGCGAAGAAATGTGGAAGTTTGTCTTACTGGTAATAACAAATAGTGTGCAACCCCCAACTGCGAGCAACCATGCGGCCTTCGCCTAGAGAACCCCAAAGTCTCCGACGGCCCCGACCTGAATCGAGGGCTTTCAATTCAGGGGCCCCAAATCATCACTTTGATTTCATGCACGAATCTAGCTCTCATCACTCTAGCTGGGGACGCTTGCAGATCCTTAAACCAAACCAACATGACGGTACAGCGTTGTCATTGGCTGGTCCCCACAGGGCACACATGTGCCGCATTAATGTCACGTCCGCCCTGGGCGCTTCCGGTGCCAATCCCCGCTCTCCCGGGGGCCGTTTCCCGTCACTATCACACTCAGGACCATCACGTAAACTCTTTTGCCCAACAGCATCGCGAGACCGCCCCCGATCAACTTCACATATCGAGTTCACTATGTCCGCAATGCGGTCGCAATGCGGGGCCCTCTCATAAAGCGTCGGGGGCCATGGCTTTGTCAAACATCTCAGAGCGAATCACTTGGCGTTTTTGGACCCCGCGCTCATCACCGAGCTGATTTCTCGTAAGCTCGACTGAATCAGGCACGGCCATTGGCAGCAATCATCAAGTTGCAGGGAATGAATCACGCGCAGCGATTCGGGGCAACCCGTCCCTTCACTCCTTTTGCCTTTGTCCACGAGGGCATTTGTTTGCTAGTCATTATGTTAATATAAGAGAGCCTGTTCCCATGTTGTTTTCCCTTGTTTCGATCTTCGGAGTACCATCAATCAATTCTCGCTCCTGCTCCAATAACCAACTCAAATAAAGCTCAAATCAAAGCCAAGACTCAACTGCTCGTTATTGACGAACGTCTTTTGAACACAGCAACCTCGCGACAGGAAATTTCGACCCATTTAATTACATCACAATGCACATCTCAGCCAAGTCCATACTTGGCCTCGTCACCCTTGGCTTGCTCTCAGTAGCAAATGCATCGGTACAGGATTTTGAGCTCATGGTCCCTCGCACATTCACCAACGCCGATGGCACTACTTCAACAATACGCATGAACCGCAACATCAAGTTCACCCAGGGATCAGAAGGCACACGGCCAGTTCGTCTATCAAAAAGATTCCCCTTCTCTTCCGGTAGAGACGAGTGGTGCGGAGAGATGGCCGAGGACCCAGCGACAGATTTCTCAGCTTCCGCTCCGCTGGCAGCAGACTGCCAGGCACTCGCCAGCTCTCTCAGCAGTCAGAATGGATTTTGGACTTTGCAGCCCGGAGACTTCTCTTCCAACGGATGGGCTACTGTAGTGAGCTCCGGAACTTGCAGCTTTGCCGTCAGATATGCCGACTCTGGCAGCGCGGCTAGCCCTATGAACGTTGGCACGAACGATATCCGCTTCTACACGACGAGATATGGTGTCATGGCACAGAATGGAAAGCTTGGGCTGCAAGGAACTGTGCAGTGTTACAACAACCAGAAGATGCTGTTTGTTACTTGGGGTTTAATTCATAGCTGAGTTGAAGTAGCAAACAAGGTGCCGAAGTAGACAAACTCCTAATGATCATATGAGGAGGCAAATCGACCATGACGTAGCCACAGGTTGATAGTAGTAATCTCAAATAGTTGAAAAAAGATGATTTCACACATTCTGGAGGCAAACTTTCTGTGTCCGGTTATTTCTCATAAAGCACCTTACCTCATTCAGCATCTTCTTGCGCGAGTACTACCTTTTCTTCCTATTCTAGAGTTCAAAGACTTTTATTAATTTTGCTTTGGTGGTTAATGAGGAATACAACATGACCTCTGCTTCCCAGATGCACCGTCGCTTTTCAAACAATCCAGGCAGTTAAACACCCGTCTTTGCTGGATGATCTTGGCTGCCTCCTTTTCAACTTCATACGACAAGTTGCGGTTGGCGTACTTATTCGAGCGGCAGCCACAAACCCCAACCTCCCGTATGCACGAGAAATCCATCATCGTGATCTTGGGAAGATCAACTGCTGTGTTGAGCAAGTTGCAGAATTTGTGAGTCGCAAAGTCGATGTCTTTTGGCAGAATGTTGGACTTTCGGAGAGTCTCGATATACGACGCCAGTGCTTTGGCGGATCTCACACAAGGGTTTTGAGATATGTCCCACGTCCAAGTCATGGGGCTAACGAGACCCTTGTAGAATGAGTTGCAGCATTCGTGTCTTTTCGCCTCCAAACATCCTGAATAATCAACGTCAAGATGATCCTCCACATGAGCCCCGTGAACAAGGTTACTTACGGATGATGTCATGCCTCAGCAGAGGATGATCTGCCAATACCTTGACTTGCTCCGAGCCTCTCGAAAATGGTCCTTCGTGGTGGAGGAAGATTCTCCACGATAACTCTGAGAATTCGAGGGGGAGGTCTATGACATATGAAAAGACCAAGAGGTGACAAAGGTCTGCCATTGGCGGCACATTTTCATCGTAGTCTGAGAGCCAATCCCTGATCCATACCATTCCGCAGTACTTAAATGCCCCGGTGCATTCATACTTGTCGCTCACAAAAGCAAGTCTCGCCAGGCCGATGGGTTTTGGTCTCTCGGTAACATAGGCGTTGTGAAGAATCTGGCTCAGAATAGACATGGACTCGGCATCGTCATCCGGGAGATCAAGGCTGTACGGAAGTGAGAGCCCGGTGCTCTTGGCCAATTCTGTGCCTTCTTTGAATTTGCCTCCCAGCATTACCTTGAAGACTGGCGAGTTCAGCATCAGAACCTTCGAAGATACCCTTACTTCCTTGTTCTGTAATTGCTCGTATTCTAGGAGCTTCGCGTCGGCGTCTACACCATCTTCGCTATCTTCGGCAACATCGGCATCGTCTATGCCCAGCCGGCTGAGCACAAGAATGAGATCTCCATCTTTGTCGATTTCGCGGCGGATGGACATATTGGAGTGCATACGCGGATCTTTGTCTATGCCTGAAGATCACGAAGTAAACCACGCAACGGTTTGCAGCAGGTCATTCATTTTCTCGATGTCATACCTCAACGTGAAGTCCCAGAAGGTTTCAGATCTAATCTTTTAACTTTGCTATGTCAGCATAGGTTGCCCACGTGCGTAGCTAGGATCACGGTCCGTGGACGAGTCTGAAACGAGAAATCTGCCCGGAGCTGGGGCTCAGTCTCCCACCATGCTAGCAACGCACTTTAATGGTCCTATGAAATTTCCAAAGGCTACCAGGTTCATGCAATTGTTCTCGTCATTAAGCATAGTAGTTGGGCACAAACCGAAAGGTGCCAGCTTAAGGATAAGAAGCAAGGATCGGATTACTCACAACAGTATGGTGAGCAGCTAAGACACTTGTCAACGGTAAGGTCAGATGACACATGTCATCTAGAATGATTTATATATAGAAACCAAGCTTGAAATAAGAGTCACATCACGCTCTGATTTCTGTAAGATTCAAGTCTCACCGCAAGCGTCGGCATATGCGCGCAATATCGTCAGACACAACGCGTCTTGGACGCATACGGTTAAACAAGCGGAAGAAACGGTCATTGATTAGAGGTCATTATATATAAGGGCCTCTTTTTTGCCACAAGTCACTGCAATAGCGTGAAAAGACACTGAGAGTGACATCAGAGTGTATTGTAAGGTATCTGAGCTAGTTCAAAGTGTGAATAGTTCAACGTTCCAAGAGACCGAAATCAGCGAGTCCTTCTAATGCCCTAATCTCACGCGATGCCGAGTTGCCTAGACATAGGCGGCGCGCATGTTTGTTTCAAAGTGGTTGTCGTTGAACGGACAGTTTGCCTTCTTGAAGTCTCCCTTGTTCAGAGCGCTTTGGACGATAGGCTCCATGGCATCCCAGTCCCAGATCCAGTATGTTCGGCCCACGGTGTTCGTAAACTGCAACTCATGGTCCAAACCACCCTGGGTGTAATATTCGACTTTGACGTTGTTGCTGCTTCTTTGAGGGTTGCTGGTCAACTTGAACTTGCCATGTCCAGAACAGGCGCCACCCGTGATGGTAGCAGTATTGACTGAAGCAGAATCAAGCCAGACGACCGAAGTCTCCCAGTCGTGACGGTGGCCGCCTACAACATTCCCATCAGCTGGCTGATCCTTGGGCCAGTACCAAGCATACATGATGCCGAATTTTCCATTCAGAGTCATGGAACGGGCGTAGGTCTGCCCTTTGTTGCCGTCCTTACATCCTCCCGAGGTAGTTCCAGTATCCTGCAAACCACCGCTTCCCTCTCTGTCAGTATGTCTGAAAACACAAAACTTTGGGACAAGCTACGTACCTGATCTGGTTGTTCTTGTTCACAGCAGGATAGGGCTGGCAGCCATGGGCAATGTGCAGCAGCGGCTGAAACTTCTTGATAACGTTTCCATTGGGGCCAAGAGTATCGACCACAGGATTGAGAGAGTCGTGGGCGACAGTTCCCGGAGCAGGCCAGTCACAAAGACCACTGCCAACAAGGGCAAGAAGGGAGATAATGATGTTAGACTGCATTTTAAGATACAGGCGCATGCGTTTGCAAGATCAGAGTTGGTAAGAGTTCAAGTAAGGTTAGTATGTTGGACGAATGAACCGATGAGTGTCTGCACATAGAATGCTGCTGAATGTCAGGCGAGCGACTGGTCTTCTTATATAGACATTGAGATACGCCGGATATCTCCTTTGCCTGTAATTCGACAGCTTCTCACTAAGTCGAAAAGCTTCTCAAATTCGATGAAGTTCCGTGGTCCCGACGGACTTTGCTAACAT